ATATATCTCTTTCTTTTTCTCTTTCGTTCTCTCTTCCTCTCTTTTCTTTTCTCCTTTCCCCTTCCTCCTCCCCCTCCCCCCTCAAGAGGTTTCATGGGTTATCCTCAAGCTAGTGGCCATCTCAGCCTCCCCAGTATTTGGATTACAGGTATGTACTACCACACATCATAGTAGCAAAGTTTTGTTTCTGTTGCTGAGGGTTAGACCCAGGGCCTGGAACATTCTGTAGCTTTTCTACCACTTTGCTACACCTCTAGCCCTTTCCTTTAATTATTGAAGGCAACATGGGAGACATTGTCATCTGCATACTTAGATATTGTCAAAATCAGGGAACTTTATCACAGGTACAGTTCTGTATGTAATGTAGTCCATATGAGTGTTATTTTCTATTAGAAACATGCATTGTATTTGGTTGACTCCCCTTTTCTTTTTCTTTCTGTGGTGCTGGGGATCAAACCCAGGGACTCAGTCATTCTACACAAATGCTTTGCCATTGAGCTCTATCCCCAGCTCGTTCTTAAATTCTTTTAGCCTGGGGTGATTTCCCAATTCTATTTTTTCTGGATCTCAACTTTTTTTTTTTATTTTAAGACTATATATAGGCCGACTATTTGGTAGACTCCACCTCCTATGACTTAGATTTTGGTTATACTTGTTTGGCAGGAATACAAGAGTGATTTGATCTTATCATCATATCTCAAGAGGAACACAGTGTTGATACACTGTAGGACTAGGGATGCTAACATTGATCGTTTTGGTTGAACACTGGGGGTGGAGGCAGAGTTGCTGAGTCACTGGCTGCTTTAATATTCAGTACAGAGAATAAACTATGAGAAAACACCTTCCTTCCTTCCTTCCTTCCTTCCTTCCTTCCTTCCTTCCTTCCTTCCTTCCTTCCTTCCTTCCTTCCTGTTCTTTTGAGACACGATTTCTCTGTGTAACAGTCCTGGCTGTCCTGGAACTAGCTCTGTAGACCAGGCTGGCCTTGAACTCACTGAGATCCGACTACTGCTGCCTCCCAAGTGCTGGGTATTGAAGGTGAACGCCAGCACCACCAGGCTGAGGAAAAGTGTTCCTATCTTCAGTCAATGACGTGTGCTCAAAGATGTGGAGACTGACTTGGGATGTCTGATCATCAAATGATAATTTCCAGTGCATTGTTTACCTGATAGACAATACGTTTGTGTACCTATCTACATAGTTTAATTTTAGCCTTGTCTAGGCTTTTATTGAATTCAGAGACATCACCCGGCTTTGCCTGTTTTCCTGCCCCGTTTTTACATGTAGCTTAAGGATTTCAGTTACTGTCCTTTTGAGTGTTTCTGAATGCATGTTGTAATCCTTTCTGGAAACATTAGTCTGGATAGTTTTGTGCTACTTATTTTCATTTCTCACAGCATGGGAGCTTTGGGCATGTTTCATAAGTTCGTTTCGCCGATATGCGCCCTTTCATCAGGGCCCTTGAGAAATGGTGTATGCATATCTTTTGATGTGGCCTTTTAATTAGTGACTTCTGGTGCAGCTTCCAGGATATTCGTTTTCTTAATTAAACTGCGCTAATTGTCTTAGTCCCAGTTTATTGCTGTGAAGAGGCTCCCATGACCAAGGCAGCTCTTAGAAAAGAAAGCATTCAGTTGGGGGCATGCTTACTCTTTCAGGGTTGGCAGGAAGATTGGCCGGCTTGGTGCTGGAGAAGTAGTGGAGAGCTTTACATCCTGGTCTTCAGGAGGCGGGCAGAGAGAGAAGTAGTGGAGAGCTTTACATCCTGGTCTTCAGGAGGCGGGCAGAGAGAGAAGTAGTGGAGAGCTTTACATCCTGGTCTTCAGGAGGCGGGTAGAGAGAGAGATTGGGCCTGACTTGGGCTTTTGAAACTGCAAAGCTCACCCTTAGTGACACACTTCCTCCAACAAGGCCACCTCTCCCGATCCTTCTAATTCTCTTAAACGGTTCCACTCTCTGAGGACTATGCATACAAATATAAGAGCCTGCAGGGCCAGCCTTATTCAAACCACTAATTCTTCTGGAAAGTAAGAAAGGAAGGAAGGAAGGAAGGAAGGAAGGAAGGAAGGAAGGAAGGAAGGAAGGAAGGAAGGAGAGAAAGTCTGGTACTTCTATACATTGATCTCTTCCCCCTTTATGATATGTGTCATCCTATGGTGATACGGTTTGGACAGCAAGCCAGATCAGTAAAGCTAAAGGGAAAAGACCATCAGGGTGCTCTGTGTGGTGAGAGTGTGGGCCTTGGGTTCCTGGGCTCTGATGGCCTCCTTGCAGGGGTCAGGTCCTTCCTGAGGGATAGGCCCACATGGTTTTGAGGAGAAATAAGCTTTTTTTTTCTGGGTATAATGCACTAAGCAGCGATTCCTTAACGTCTGGACACTGTCTAAGGGTGTCTTCAACAAGCAGGGGAGAGTGGACGTTCTCCTGAGATTTCCTCTTAGCCTTCCTGCCTAGGAGCGGGGCCTGATCCCAGAGCCTCCTCTGGAAGCCCTGGCAGGAGTTTAACTCATGAAAGAAACTTAGACAATTGAGAGCCACGGCTCTTCTGTTGGGTGTTTTGTGTGGTTTCAGTTAAGAACACGACCCCTTTTGGCACGCCCTTCCCGGTAAAAACTCGGAGCTCTGGGCGTTTACTTGGTTTTACTTGGGACCAGACTTGGCTGTGTGTTAAAAGCAAAGCTGCTTTGTCCCTCCCATTCCTGACAAAACCCTGTCACTTTTCTCTCCAGCTGCGACCCTGAACCTCCTCGCTGGGTGGAGACAGGCAACTGAGAGACATTAATTAATTCTGAGGCCTTTGACCTTCATGCAACTTTACAGTGGACTCCTTAATTTCTGTGTCTGGATTTTTCCCTCCAGAGTTTTATATTTGGTCATAGCAGGTGAATCACGTGACTGTGTCCTGTGTAGTTAAAGCTCGATGCCTGAAGGAGATTCCTATATCTCTGGAATTGAGCTAACATGGTGCCTTCCATAGGTTCTGGGACACACAGAACCTGTCCCCTGCCCTTTGCCTTGGAACACATGGCCTGTATACTGTTTCTGCACACCAACCCTAAGGTCATAGGTCTGGAACGTTCTCAACCTCAAAGGTATCTTTATTAAATCTTCGAGAACTTCTTAGGATGCATTTTGATCACATTCCCTGCCATCTCCTTCCTTCAGCTCCTCTCAGATCCACCTCCCCCTATCTTCTCGTCCCCCTCAATTTTGCATCTTTTTTTGTTTTTGTTTAATAACCCATTAACTCCAGTTTGTGTGTTCATATACTCCTGGGTGGGGCCATCCAGTGGAACATCAACCTGCCAGGAGCCAAGCCCATAAAGGAAAGGGACTCTCCCTCCCCTAGAAGCCATCAACTACCTGTAGCTCCTAAGTTAGGGTGGGAACTCAGGAACCCTTCCCACTCCATGCTAGAATGATATCTGGTTTGTGCAGGCAGCCACAGCGGCTGCGAGTTTATGAGTGCAACAACATCCGGTCATGTGAGGGACACACTGTTTTGCTGGTGTGCTCCCTGACCTGCGCTGTGGTCACTGAGTAAAAGGATAGACACTGTTTGTGTGTCTGCTCTCTAGACTATAGTCTCCTGAAGGGAAGAAGGGAAGGGATCCAGCTGTCTTTCCTATCACTGAACAAAAAACAAAACAGAGTTCCAGGACAGGCCCCAAAGCAATACAGAGAAACCCTGTCTCGAAAAACCAAACAAAGGAAAAAAAAAAAAAAAAGAAAAACAAAACCAAAACAAAACAAAAAACCATAGAGTACGGGAAATGATGACTGGTGTAGTTTAACACCCCCAAGTAACCAGTATTCATATTGGTCCTTTTTATTTCCAAAGCAATTAACGTTTCCTGGACATCCTGTTAAGAACTAGTTACAGTCTTATGTGATGTGCACACTTGTGCAAACCCACATGGTTTAACCAGCTTTCTCAATCTCGTCACCCTTGGTTAAATTATAGTTTGCTAATCCTGTTTGTTCCCCCTCTTCCCGCCACCCCCACCCACCCACGGTGGCTCTAAGCTGAAAAGTGCCCATGTCCCGTTGCTGTCTTTGTCAATGCCTCATCGTAATTTTTGTGATTTCTTGCAGAGCCAGTAATTTGCACTGTTTGATTGTTACTGAAAGTCCCCTTTCATAAACTGTCCCGATGCTTGCTTAGGTCACCTCATGCAGGGTTAGTGTCTATTGTCTTTGCACAATAAGGATATTTACTGGGATGGTTTAATATCCGCACAAGCAGATTAAAACTAGCCCACTGGCAGCGTTTCCTCCGCTCCTTGCGGGTGCGCCTTCTCTGCTCTTCAGCTTGGCCGTAACCTTTCTCCGTTAATGAAAAGACATGACATGTCCTGTCGGGATAAAAGTGCTATCTGAGGATAGTAAAGCAATCTTGCTTCCTCTAAGAGTGCCCAGCCGCCGTAACCAATTTGAAACCAGAAGGATGGCTTTGTGGAAGAGTACAGTAAAACTCTTAGAGTCTGCGCATGCCCACACCCACATTTCTCTGGATGTGTTAGAACGATGACAGTTAGGTAGATTCTTTAACAGTTAATAAACTATGCATCCGGAGAGAGCGCTCACAAGAGAGCACAAGAGCCGGCGGCACAGGCGTTTCATCCTCAATCTAGGCAGAGTGGATGTGGTGCCCAGTTACTTGTGCACTGGTCTGTGGACCAGGTTACTGTTTAAGTGGGCAGGCAGAGTTACAAGCAGGAAAATCATTTATTTATTCTTTTAAATTTCATTTTACATTCCAACCATAGTTCTCTCTTCCTGCCCCTGCTCCCCCCTCCTCACCCCCTTCCCCAGTCCACTCTTCCTCACAGGTAAGGGCTCCCATGAGGAGTCAACCAAGTCTGGCACAATAGGTTGGGCAGAGCCAAGTCCCTCTCCCAGGCATCAAGGCTGAGCATGGCATCCCACATAGGGAGAGGGCTCCAGCAAGCTAGCTCACATACCAGGTTTGTATCATGGTCCCATTGCCAGGGGACCCTAAAAGTATGGAATGCTTCATGAATTTGCATGTCATCCTTGTGCAGGGGACATGCTAATCCTCTCCGCATCGTTCCAGTTTTGGTATATGTGCTGCCGAAGCAAGCACGAAAATAATTTCTAGATACTAAATTTCAAGGTTGCCTGGGAAGTAGATGCAAGTTGTGTTGCAGGTCCATGTCAGCCTTCGGAGCACCTGCAAAAGGTTTGAAGTCTTGAAACAGGTAATCAAGAAACATTTAGCCATGCGTACATTGTTCCTGAGCTCTGTGCTTATCAACTGAGCCAGCAGAGAATTTTCTTTATAGCATTCTTACCCGGAATTAGAATAAAGGCTTCGCTGTGTGAGGTCGGCACAGTGAAGCTTCTTTACAGGTTTTTGGAACCAAATGCACCTCGAAGTGAGAAGCCGCTTTGTGTATTTGTTTGTCTGTCTGTTTGTTTGTTCATTCATTCTGACCCTGTTGGGTGATTAATACTGTTTCTGGGAAATAAGAGACACAAGTGACTCCTTGTTGGCAAAAGCCGAGAGAAGGCAAGAGACGTGTCTGCAGTCCCTGTGTCATGGCCTGCGGTGTGGCTGGCTTTTCTTTCCTTCTCCATGGACATGTGTTTCCCGTCAGACAGGGCTGCGTGACACCTGGGCTTGGCCTGTTCGCCAGCTAAACCATGCATAGCATATAAACAGAGTGTAGGAAAAGGCCTGCAGCTGTACTCAAGACACTTCCTGCTGGAATATTTTGCAGACCTGGCACACTGGGTCTGTATATAAGTCAGAAATGATTTACACCTGTATGTTTTGGCATGGCTTCTTGTAATTCCATATCATTACATGACCAGAAGGTCTGGTATTACAGCCATGATGTGGATCATGGAGTATAATCTTTCAAAGCTGCCTTCTTTTGTCTTTTTTCTTTTTTCATTGTTCTAGAGCAAAGTGGTGTAGCTTTTGCATGTGTAAAATTAGGTCACACAAACAGGGCACCATCAAAATGTGACTCAGGTTGTTTCCGTCTTTTTAAGGGGTCTTCGAGAGACTCCTTCATGATACAGGACAGAGGAAACCAGCTAGCCTCTTCAAGTTAGCTTAGCCGATGCCTGCACAGCATCGTGTGAGCCTGCTCTTTTAGGTTTCCTGAGTTTGGTGGGATCTGTGTGCGTGTGATTTGTGCTGAGTCATTTAACTTTCCAAGTTTCTTCAGCTCTAAAATCAGTGAATTGGAGGAAGTCATCCATTTTAAACTGTGAGCAATAGCTTATGCTAGGGGTATAGACATTAGCTAAACTAGGATATAGTCTCTAAACTGGGATATAGTCTCTAAACTGGGATATAGTCTCTAAACTGGGATATAGTCTCTAAACTGGGATATAGTCTCTAAACTGGGATATAGTCTCTAAACTGGGATATAGTCTCTAAACTGGGATATAGTCTCTAAACTGTGATATAGTCTCTAAACTAGGAAAGTGTAAATTTGAACATGATAGTTGGGAAATGCCTGTAGCATGAACTTGATCCCAAGAGAATTTTCAGAGCACAGTTGAAGTTCTTCTACTGCGCTCTTGACAGCAGCCCAGGCCCCGGGCAAACTGCTGATCGACCCTCCGTACAGGGCACCCTGGCTTCAAGCTAGATGGGGTCTTCTAGGAAAGAACCCTCCACTAAAGCAAAGTATGAGGAGCACAGGTCTAAAGTGGACCAAGACCCCCATTACACAGAGCAAATAAAACATATGCCCCCCCCCCCACCAAGAATGGGTGTTGCGGGGCACCCTGACGCCCATCCTGAATTGATGGCCTTAGTCTTAAATTTATCAACTGGTTATGACTGCTGGTTCTATAGGAATTCTGTCATGATGAGGTCACCCTGGGACAGCTGAGAGTCATCACAAAGGCCTAGCATCACAAGCCTTTGCATTTGGTAGAGACTGCCTGGATTAGCCCTGTGTCCCAGGAAACCCCTCACTTCTAGGAAAGCTAGGGTGACTGGTCAGACCTCAGTTTCAGGGTTTGTGGAGAGGAGAAAGAATGGGATTGTGGGTAAAGTTTTCAACCCGGATGGCCTATGATTCTACAACTCATTGTTTAGGGGGGTGGGTTACAAGTTGTTATTGGTAATGGTCAGGAAAAAAAGCTCAGCAAAGGAGATTAGATTCAGAGTTCTTGTTTTGAAAAGAAGGGTGATGTAGATATGATAGGATATAAAGGTAGATTATTGAATCTACCCTGAAAAGAAAAAGGTGGGATATAGAAATAGGATAAAAAGCTGGATTATTGAATCTACTTTTAAACCAGAAAAGCAACTACTAGTTTTAAATTATTTTACATTGGCCTGGATATTTTTGCATATTAATATAAACTTGAGGTTATTTTTGTTAAAACACACTGCCCATTTCTAGTCTTGTTCAAGGTATTGTAACTGGGCAACTCATTTAACAATGTAATGCAAGTTTTTAGCCCTTAAAAGTTATTATTACAACTATTTAGGATAGTAAGAAATTGCAGGTTAGCAATCAGTCACTTAATTACAATTGAACTTCTAGTCATATTAGGTATGTTTTCAAGGTCAGACAGATATATTTTAGATAGATAGGTTGTCTTCAAACTCTTCTGAGATCTACAGAATATGTCATTTAAGATGTTTTAATAACGTAGGTTCTTTTCCTTTTTTATGACAATGAGACATGTTTGCTCCTGGCAGCACCAATCTACTTCAGAGAAGATGATGGCATGAAAGAAAAAACTTCTCATGGAGTTTGCTTTCTTTGTGGCAAAAGTTAGCCACTGGCCAAGAAAGTGGTCTTGTCTCGATGACTGACAATATGCTGTCCAAATTAGACAAGCAGGACACATTTGTGTGTGGAGACTTTGGTATTTTATAACCCCTGTCCTGTTTTATTATTTCCTTTGTTTTTGTTTTCTTTCAGACAGTCTTGCAGCATTCTAGATGGTCTCAAACTCTACCTTGACTTAGGTCACTCTCCTGCCTCAGCCTAACCCCCAGCCAAGACTTGTATATTTTGCTTTTTCTTCTATGACTTTGTATCTTGCACAACAGCTGAAAGACATATGAATGTATTTGTTCAACATCATTGGCTGCTGTTTCCCTTCTCTGACTTTGAGTTAGAAGCAACTTGTTAAACTTCAAAGACCTCAGCATATAGTAGGAGCTTAATTATAGTTTAATTTTCTTCATAATTCAGTGCTTTGCCAAGACATTTACTAAGTTGTAGTTGGCCAGCATTTCTTAGTTTTTTTTTTTTTTCGTACTTAGGAGAGTGAATCCTGCAAGGTGGATAGATGTGTTTGGACCTTTACATTCCTCTCAGAAAGGGAAAGGGACTCTTGAGTGTATTCAAGACTGAGACACTCAGCAGTAAAATACATTCTAGTTTATCATTCCACAGCTGACAACATAACACACCTGGAAACAACTCCTTTGTATCTGTTTACTTTCATGAATTATGTTATAGACCCCCCATTCCTGTGTCTGTCTGATTATTAATTATATTCCCTAATTAGAAATTGTACTTTCATAAAAAATTTGAGTAGAATGCTTCTATACCTCCACACCCAGTTTTACTTGCTTGTTAAATCTCACATCCTTGTGCTATGTTTGTAACAACTAATGAAGCGGTATTGGCTCATTATTGCTAATTAAAATGCACACTGGAAGCCTGATGTGGTAACTCATGTACTTGGGAGGCCAAAGTTGGAGGAGTACTATAACTTTGGAGGCCAGCCCTGGTTTAAAGCCAGCCCTGGCTTATATAGCAAGTTTCAGGTCAGCTGGGAATACATAATTAGATCCTATCTGAAAAAGACCAAAGAAATAAGTAAATACAAAAATAAAAAAAGTTACATACTTTATTCAGATTTTATTAGCTTCTATGTGATATCTTTCTCTGTTCCACATCTCATAGAGCATACAGACAGTGCCTGCATCTAACATGTCTCAAGACACGCTTGACTGGGACCATTTCCTAGGTTCTTATTTTCCATGACCTGGATAGTTTTGAGGCGTATTGCTTAGATGTTTAAATAATTCCCCTTTGTTAGAAATGGATTCCACCCACCCCCACACTATTAGACTTGCCTAATGGTTTTGGAAAAGAAGACCACGGGATTTAAAAAAAATATATATAATAAAAAAGCCAACAAGCAGCTTTCTCATCGTGTCAAGTTATATACGATTATTACATCACATTATTACATGTTGTCACTGTTAGCGCCGGCCTTGGTCACCTGCTCCAGGACATGTGTTTCAGGGTTCCGCACATGCAGCCTCCTCGCTCTCTTTTAGACCCCGTCTTTTCAAGAGCTCTCTGTGTGTCTGTCCCAGAGATTCTCCAGCGCACCTTCGTGGCACCTTAAGTAGAGGTGCCATGGGTGTTTTTATTGAACTCGTGAGCCTCGGTGACTCCCAGTATGAAAGTCTGCATTACCGGCAGCCTGGGGTAAGGGGGACAGAAAAGGAAGCAAGTGCCACAGGCTGGAAGCCTCAGAGTCTAGGGAGCCCTCACCCACTCACTTAAGTGCAGCTTTGCCGCTGAGACGTTGTGGAGAACTCAGCTTCCAGACTCCAGTGTCACCAGAGAAGCCACTGAGGACTTGACAGGAGACCTTGCTAGCCTTGGGTGTGCCCCTCCCCTCCCCCAATCAGATTCGACTTGTAGAGAAGAATTGGAAGGGTATAAAGTCACGTCTGTATCGTTTTTGTTTTTAATTTTGGCTTCCATGTAGCTCCTGGCCCCTGGAATACTGGTTTTTCTTTGCACAGTCTACCATGTCTACCTAGGAGGGTTTTTGTTGTTTTTTTATTATCAACTTTAACCCCGTTGTTTGCCTTATGGTTTGGCTTTCTCCACTTGGCTCTTTGTGTATGTAGAGCCAAAAGCTGTTTGTCATGGGGGAAACAAGCCTAGAACACAGAAGAGCAAGCCACCGGATGTCTCCGAGGCCACATTTGTCAAACATCCTGATCCATGCGCCTCGTAGCCTTCGGCTCACAGCTCCCCCTGCTCCCATTCATCAGCTCTTGGGCTAGGGAAGCCGGCCCCATCCTTCTTTATGAACTGGTGCTCTGTGGCCCAGCACCGCAGAAAGCAGTGAGTGAGACTAAAGACGGTCCCTGCACAGATAGAAGTGATTTCAGCAACACCCTCCTCTTAGAGCTCATTTCACTCTTAAGGTTTTGTGGAAATGACCAAGGGTTTTGCTAGAAAGGGTGACAGATTGTCACTGCACAGCATCCCTCGGCAGCACTGGTCAGAGGACCAGGTCCATCCTCAGTAACGGTCATCTCCAATGCTTCACCGAGGACACTGCCATTGCAGCACGTGCCTGTCACACGTTGGCTGCGGAGTTTGTCTGTCTTGGTGTTTTCTTTTATACTGAGTAGCAACAAATAAAAGCATCATTTTAAATTAATTTCCAACCACAGAGAACACAAGCGATTTACTTCCTCCCCTCAAAATAGAACAAAAGATAACATCACTTTCTTGGGAGAGGGGGGAAAACAGATATCTCAACTTGAACTTAGTGAGTTCTTCTATCAGTGAATTTGTGCTTGGATTGTGTCTTTCTTTGGGGGGGGTGGCAAATGTCTTGAACCCAAAAGTTGTCAGTCTTTCTGAGGCAGATCATGGTAGTTTGGTCTCATACAGCACTGGGGTACGCTTTTAAAAAAACGGGACCATCATTTCCTCTCAGAAATGCTCTGGAATATCATCCCAAGGAATATTTTGCTCATTGCAAAGTCAGATGTTTTGACTGTGTTTTCCTGGTGACCTTCTTTCTGCAGCAGCTGTCTTGTCTCCCCCAAAAGCAGTGACCTTGAAGAGGCTCAGCCTGCATGGACAGCCGTGAGCTCCAGGGTTGACGAAGCTCAGCAGCTCTTGGAAATTAATCAGTTGGAAGAGGCAGAGTTGAATAGTGGGTGACTGAATGAAGTCAAGACACCGGCTTCTAGGTCGCTTTCTGTTGGTTTTGTTTCCCTCATTTCTGTAGTGAGCAATTGCAAGAGTAGAACTTCCTTCTGATGTGTTTCAAATAATTTTAGTGTTTTCTTCACTTTCAAAGAAAGATTTATTTCATGTATGTGGATATTTTGCCTGCATGTATGTGTATGTACTGTATGCATGTCCGGTACCCACAGAGGCCAGAAGCATGCACTGGGTCCCGGTGTGCCGAGTGTGCTGGGAAACCTACTTCTGTCAGAACGCCAATTGCCCTGAACTGCTAAACCATCTCTCCAGCCCCTGCCTCTTGAATTTTCAATTTAAAAATATTTACCCGTATTTCACATCAGCTGTTGTGCATGTTGGAAGAACTTAAATGACGCAGAGTGGGAAGAGTATCTCCCATCTTTGACACCCAGACTACCCAGAGGTAGCACTGATACCAGTTCCAGGTCTGTTCTAGGACAACAGCGGTGTATGCATAATCCACCCCTCCTTTCCACGAATAGAACCTCACTTAGATATATGGTCTGTGCCTTGTGGTTTTGCTCCTATGGCCCATAAGATTATCCTATTCTGTTATTCTCCTGGTTACTGTGAAGAATGTCCCTCGGCGGATGGTTTACAGGATACACAGTAAGATCCTGTTTAGTCTTTTGCTATTGTAAGCAATAATTTTAAACACCCTCACGCGCTGTGGTGAGTGTGCTATGTGCTTGAGTGGGTTTTATTTTGAAAACAAAACCATTGTGGAAGGCCCAGTCTTTTCCAGGCTCTGCAGTTAATAACCAGGGATGCTCTTGCATGGATATTTCCTGTAAGATCGAACACGTGTCCCGCAAGAGCTAACACCTTTAAGAGCTGATGTCTCGAGTAAGAGTGAACGCCTGTTAGAGCAGACATTCTGAAGATCAGCAAGGGTGTGATCTGGGAGGAGTCAGCCCCGAGTCTTAAATCCCCAGATTAAAAAAAAAATCAGACATTAATAAAGTCCACAGAGAGCATTTGGTTGTCATGTGGAGTTGAGTATCGGAGCGTTAAGGAACATTCTATTTGTTAGTGAATCCAGGGCAGTGTATTGTCTACTGTAAATGATGGTTTAGCTAAATTGTTGAAGTTAACACAGTTCCACACAATCTTGTTATGTTAGTGACTTGTCAGATCTAAGCCAGAATTTTTAAAATTTGAGATTTTGGCCTGGGGCGGTGGCTGGGCAGTCAAGAACACATGGTGTTCTTCCAGAGGATCGGGTTCAGATCTCAACACCCATATCAGGGGCTTCATCTGACTGCCCTGGGCACCCAAAGATACACACACCCATAAATAACCATGTTTGGATAATTTACATTTAGGAAAAAAACAATGTTATTAACAGCCTGTGATTTTTAACCTCCGCCCCACCACCAATCTAAAGGTTTCTGATATTTGGAATATTCTGTGTCTTGTCTACAGTAGTTATGTCAGAAAAGCAGAAATGCCCCCTTCAAGAGGGCTCAGAAACATCTGTCTCTGGGGATAACATTTAACACTTCCTTCCTTTGACTTGAAATAGACTTTATGAATTAAGCTCTTCCGGATGTCTGGAGTTTTGTCTTAGGTGAAGCTGAGCCTGATGGAACATTTTCCCAGTGGCACCGTATGTGTGAATCCTTCCGACAGTGCAGCCTTCAGCAAGGCTGGCCGTACCAAGTCCTAGAAGCAAAAATACACACTTCAGCTTTCTGCCATAGTGGGACTGTGGGTTTTTTTTGTTTTGTTTTGCTTTCTGCTCTCAGACTAAGGGGGTGAGAAGTGCTGTCAGTTCCCCACATCAAAGCTTAGGAGCTGAGCGGCCCCATCTCCCCTTTGCTGTCCACGCTGTGTACAGGGAGACTAGGTTGCTCTGTCACCCCTCCAAGCAAATCCAGTTGGTGACGTGCGCTCCCACATGACATCCCCAGCAAACTGAAGAGCGAAACATTCAACAATTGAGGACCAGGGTATAGTAAAACAGCCCATTGTTTATAAGCAACACTCCATCCCCAGGACAAAAGCCAATACAAATCTTTAACTTGAGGGCTTTAATTACAATATCTCAGTAGTTGGAGGCAGAATCAGTGAGTTCCAGGCAGTCTGGTCTACATAGCAAGTTCCAGCACAACCCTGTCTCAAAAAGAAAAAAGTATAGGGTGTTTACTGGCATGTGTGTCTGTGTACCGCGTTCATGCCTGGTGCCTGCAGAGGTCAGAAGAGAGCATTGGATCTCCCAGGACTAGAGGTGGTTCTGAACTGCCATATGTGTACTGGGACTCAAACCTGGGTCCTTTAGAAGAGCAGCCAGGGCTCCTAGCCACAGAGCCATCTTTCCAGCTCTCTGATACTTGCAGGCAGGATCTCACGCAGCCTAAACAAGCGCCAGACTTCCCCGTATTGCCAACGATTACCTTGCATTTCTGATTCTCCTGTTTCCACCCTTGAGTCCTAGGATTCTAGGAATGTACCGTCACTCTGGGGTTTACATGATGCTGGGGATGGAACCCAGGGCTTCCCGCGTGGTAGCCAAGCGCTCTGTCTTTCCATGGAGCGATGCTTCCGGTCCCAGGAGTTACTCCTTTTTAACAAAGTGTGCCTGGGCCCCTTGTATGATCGAGGCCTGCTTTTCACCTGATGCTCTCACTTCATTCATTCACCCTGAGTGCTTTTGCGTCCCCCCTGGATGCTGAGAACGCGTTGCATACTTTCTGTGAAGCTGCTACAGATATTCGGGGTGTCTGAAAAAGATTCACACACTCCCGGGTGTCCTGGAGGAAAATCTTTCTTAAGCTGTGACAATCTTTGTGGGACTTAGGTTTACCATTATGTTTATGTTACGTTAAATATATATCCAAGAAACGGGGCTTGTAAGAGACGGCTCAGTAGGTAAAGGCACTTGCTATAAGCCGGACAACCTGAGTGAAACTCTGGGACCCTGGTGACTGAAGTAGAGAACCAGCCATGACCTACACGTGTATGATGTGACCCATGCGAGCCCCCCCCACCCCATGAATAAGTATAATACAAATGTATTCTGGGCATAGGAAACATGAAATAAAATTCTGAAGAGCACAGGAAGCCAAGACTAGATGAATTAGGTGTGGGACTGTTACATGTACCCTCATGAATAGAATCAAGGCCATCATTTTAAAACAGTCATGATTAAGAGTAAAGGACCTAAAAGGAATTCCGAATCGACACTCCAGGGCGCAAAGCATTCTGGGGTCCCTTTATGGTAGGGTGTCGTAGGCCCTGGCCATTGACCTGTGTGTTCTCCCCTTCTGCAGTGATGAATCACCAACACCAGCAGCAAGTCGTGCCCAGTAACCTGAGTCCGCAGAGCCACCCAACTCCGAACCCGCCCACGGGGCTCATGAGTGTGCCCAACGCCCTGACCACTCAGCAGCAGCAGCAGCAGAAGCTGCGGCTGCAGAGGATCCAGATGGAGAGAGAGAGGATCCGGATGCGTCAAGAGGAGCTCATGAGGCAGGTGTGTGCTTCCGTGGCTGACCAGAGTCTCTCTTCCGGAGCTATCTTCCGGGGCTACACATAGGAGTCCAAGGACTAAACTTAGGAGTTCAAGGACATGCTCTTTGGCAGGGCTGCCTTGCTTTGCACTGATAGTGTTTAAAAGGAGAGGAAGGAGAAATAAAGAAAAAACACGTTCCAGTTAGCTTGGTAATGAGTTATCCCCCAATCTCAGGGACTTGAAATAATCGTTTAATTTAATTGCAGTTTTGTAGGTCAAGAATTTATAAAGGGCTAAGGTAGGCCGTTTTTCTGTTGTCATCGAGGTCGCCTAGTGGTAGTCAGCTGGTAGGCGGTGTGCGAGGTCCCAGAGGATGGGAGCCAATGGAGATTTCTGGCAGGTTGGGCTTAGTTGGGATTACAGGAAGCATGGGCTTTCTTAAGTGAAGGACATAGAACAGCAGTCCTCCAGGAGAAACACTGAAAGAGATGGGAGACAGACGCTGCCAGTGTCTTAGGGCCTGGCTCTAGACATGGAGTCAACTTTGTCCCCTTTCCCTCATTGGTGGAGATAGCGGAGAGGCATTCCATGAGACAGCTCTCTGCAGACGGCTCTCTTGCTCTACTGCAGAGCATGGGACAGGATGAAGTCCGAGCAGAATGGAAAGAAAACTGGTTTGGATATGAGTTTAATGTAATGTTCTATAAAACTGCATGGGTATCAGTCAGACTTTTGCTTTAAGAATGTCTTGTCACAGCAGGACATAGTGGCGCACACCTTTAGTCCCTGCCATTGAGGCAGAGGTAGGTGGATCCATGTGAATTCAAGGCCAGCCTGGTCTGCAGAGTGAGTTCCAGGACAAGTAGAGCTGTATAGTTGTATAGGTGCCTCAAAATTAATTAATTAATTAAAAAAGGTTCTGAGGTTCTGCTATGAATCCCAGGCTGGTATCAAACTTGAGATCCTTCTGTCTCGGCTCCTAAATCCTCGGATAGGAATGTGTCACCATGTCTGGCTCAGTCCAGTTACTGTGTGCTGTAATGTTCTTCATAAACAAAAGAAATTAGCCAAGACGGTGATGCACACCTTCAATCCAAACCTCGGAAGGCTGTCTTGGATTGATTGAAAGTCTGAGGTCAGAGCTGGGGGAGGGAGGTGTATCTCGGTGGTAGAGTACTTACCTAGCATGTTCCAAGTTCTGGGCCCATCCCCAGCCCAGGGAAAGACAGGGAAGGAAACAAGAATGGGCAGGGGGAGGGAGGAAGAAAGATGCCTGGCTAAGAAATCGTTTTAACTGTTCAGAGAGCATCCTTGGAAAGAAGCATGGGGTGGTACAGGGTAGATACTTTCCCCAGTTACAGCTGCTGTTTTAAGATCTGCACACCATCTTCTATCAGCGATAATGTCTTGATCATCAAATACAGCTCAGATATAGCATGTGGAAAATAAAAGAAGTGAACATTAAGTTAAGGAAGATGGCTGTTAGGAAACCACAACTGTGGCTTTTACTATTAGAATCTAAATGTGTGCTCGGCTGCACCAGGTGATACGTCCTGGCAGGAAGCAATCATATTATTTTCCAGTTTTGGATTATTTCTATTTAGTTTGTTTGGCTGTTTTTTTTTTTAAGGCTAAGATTTCTGTGTAGCTCTGACTGTCCTAGTACTCACTCTGTAGGTGAGGTTGGCCTCAGATTTACGGATATCTGCCTGCCTCTGCCTCCCGGGTGCTGCGATTAAAGGCGAGCGCCTCACTGCTGCCTGAGATTTCTCTTTGGAGCTGATCAGTTTCATATGTGGAAATATAAAGTGTATTATAGTCTCGTTTATAAATTCTCCTCGGTTTTGTATTTAAATGATCTCAAATGGTGTTTTACATATATATGTGTGTATGTATGTATGTATGTATGTATGTGTGTGTGTATGTATGTATGTGTGTATAATCACTCTTCTGCTCAGAATGATTTGTTTCTATTTCTTCCTCTTATATAATTCTTTCTTTTGTCCGTCTCCTTCTTTCCCACAGAAAGAATGTCTGGAAAGGGGTGGGTAAGAGTGCCCGGGATTGTTTCCTTTATGCTATCTGCAGGTGCCTTTGAGCCACAGATGGTCTTGGTGGCTCGTATTACAGAGATGCCAGCACCATTCCTTCAGTACTGATCCCTGGCAGCTGGGGAACTTGGTGCATTTTAGGCCAGCCCAGTGTGGTGTCCTCCACAGCGTCCAGCGAGGAGAAAAGCCTGGCAACTTTTGCTCAGCTTTGACTGCGAGGTGGCTGTGTGTGTCTAGTTAGGAAACTGGATGGATGGTTTTGATGTCTTGTTAATTTTGTTACTGGAGTATATTGGGGAAAATGTCTGAATAGATTTAATAATCATGGAAGGTTGGTTTCCCCCTACAGACACACAACACACACACACACACACACACACACACACACACACCCCAGAAGCACCATGCTCCCTAGTCATAGGTAATAAGGCCATATAATGATGATGTGGGAGTGTTTTCTGGGGGCATTCCCAGAGTGTCTTGAATATCATCTTTTTTTGTTTTTTGGTTTTTCGAGACAGGGTTTCTCTGTATTGTTTTGGAGGCTGTCCTGGAACTCTGTAGACCAGGCTGGCCTCAAACTCACAGAGATCCGACTGCCTCTGCCTCCCGAGTGCTGGGATTAAAGGCGTGCGCCACCAATGCCCGGCTTTGAATATCATCTTGATGGGCTTCCTTGTTTTAAAATGACGCATCTTATCTTACGTGTGTGAATGTTTTGCACACATGCACGCATGGTCCCCTGGAACAGTAGCTAACGATGGTGCTGGGACCTCTTGGAGAGCGGCACCCACTCTTGCTTGCTGAGTTATCGTTACCCAGCCCCTTGGCAGGCTTTTTGTAGTTACTGTGTATGCGCTCCAGGTAGCGGTCAAGTGCGGTCTTCAGGAATCAGCTCTCTCCTCCCACTGTGGGAGCTGGGGATTGACCACAGGTGCTCAGGCTTGCTCAGCATGAGTCCTTGCCTGCTGAGCTACACTGCCTGCCCCTGGTAGGCCTTTCAACCTCTTATGGTGAATTTTCCACTTTGCTCTTTGTGCCTCAGCCAGGGTAGGGGCAGGAAAGGACTGGAAGTAAATGAGGTCTTTGGGTCACCTGTTCAGCCGCTTGCCAGCACCAAACAGGCATTTGCAGTGCGGAGGACTGGTTTTTCCTGATGAGGTTTGTGGGTTTTCTGCGAATTCCAGTGGTGTGGTCTGCCTCAGTCCCCAGCAGCTGCCTGGACCTCGCTTGCTCACTGGGATGGCTGCAGCCACCCTGCCTCTCCTGCCTGCGGGACACCTCTGTGTACAGCTGCCTGTCTTCTCTGGCACCTGCAGTTGGATGGTGCCCTGTGGGGAGACTGCGCCTCAGCCTGCGCTGTATGACCGTCTGGCCCGTGCCCTCCGACAACTGTCCCTGTGTTGTCCTGTGTTAGCTCAATGGTGCTAGAGCCGCTCAGGACATTAACAAAGTAGATTTGGAGACGGTTTGATTGCGGTTCGAAAGTGAGTTTCCGTTGGTTCAGGATGGGAGCTATTTCCCCCTTTCTTCCTTTATTTCCTGATCAATTCCCTTAGCCAGTATCCCTGGAATTGGAAGCGATAGAAAAGCAACTGGGACATGACTGCCTTTATACACCTTCTGTGTAGCAGAGGAGACAGAATAATTAACTCTAGTCTCAGTTGTGGGTCAAGGGGTAAATGAACACCATTACCTCCTTGGGGCCCCGGTGGTTACCTCTTTGACTTTTATTATTGTCACTGAGCCCCGACAAATTTGCTTTCTGTGAAAACAGTGTTAAGCTATTCCTTTATCCCTTTCCATTGACCGCGTTCCTCCTGGCCAACAAACTGTTGAACAACAGTTTGAATCCGGTTCAAAATGGCAGTGTCTCCACAGATTTAGGCATCTTAACTAGGCTAGGCCTGATGGCAGCAGGCCTCTAATCCTAACAGCTTAGGAGGCTAAGGCACCAACTGAGTTCAAAGCCAGCCTGGGTTCTTTAGTGAGAAACGGTCTCAAAATAAGGAAATAAGATGGAGGGGCCTGTGAAATGACTCAGAGAGTAAAGGCGCATGCCACCAAGCCTGCCGCTTGACTTCGATCCCCAGAAATCACAAGGCGGAGAGAGAGAGAGCTCTCCCACAAGTTCTCTGGCTTCCATGTATGTGCTGTGTGGTGTGCATGCATTCCTAGGCGGGATGCACACGCACACACACACACACACACACACGCACACGCACACGCGCGCGCGCGCGCGCGCGATAAACATTCTTTAAAAGGATGCAGATACAGATGGTGGTAGGTAATTTGCCTGTCACGCATGACGGGAGGTATATCACCCCTACTCCCCAAGCAGGAAAATTTCCTCAAATGTGGTCCCTGAACTGAATTGAGCATTGTCTGCGGAAGCAGCAGAATTGAACTTGTCAGGGCCTACACTGCGGGATTGTTACTATTTCCAAGCGAATTCCATACTGTTTTTTTTTTTTTAACCTCTATTCTCTCTTTAATTGGAACTTGGGGGTGGGGTAGGAGAATACAGCTTGTATACAAAAATGCTGACTAAGCGTGGCCTTTGGTATCCCGGGCGACGGACACAGATGGAAAGAGGCAGGCTCAGAATTCTGCTAGCAGGTCTTAAGATTTCTGTCAAGCTTGACAACTGCTATGGGGGTGGGCAGGCCAGCTGACCAGTTTCATAGCCTTTTCAGATCCACGGTTCCACGGAGAGGGACACAGGACTGAGCCGTGCTGGTCTCGGGGAAGGTTTAGAGGGCTGTTTTCTGTCTTGAGTTTTAAGAGCTTTTTAGAAAAGTTAAATACATACCCAGCCAAGCATTTCACAGCCTCTGGAACATAGGTTCTAAGTTTTCGGAACACTCATCATAGAGGTAGATTTCAGAGTTGACTAAGGCATTTGACGGGGGTCCTGTCATCCAGCATTCACCATATACCTAAATCATCTGTAGAGAAATGGCTGTTTAG